TCCGCATACAAAACGGTCGTGCAGCCTTTCTTCTAAATCCTTGAACTCGCACGGTTTAGCTGCTCTTCTCAAAACTGCAATAAAATCTTTTGCTGATTCCCCTGCTCACTGATCTCTCAGTTTGAATGTGTGCCTCCACGCAATGACAGATTGCTTTGGCTGGAAATGTTCTTTCAAAATTTTCTTGAGATCAGAGTACGAAACAGCTTCTAGCGAGGCCGGGGCAACCAAATTCTCGGCGATCTCAAAGGCATCTTGCCCACAAATGCACAACATTGTGGCAGCCTTTAATCCATCTTCCCTTATCTGATTCACTCGGAAGTAAGTCTCCACCCTTGCAATGTAAGATTCCCATTTTTCCAGGTGGGAGACATCAAATTCAGATAAGCGACCGATTTTTGCCATTATCAAGGGACAGGGTTTTCTTCAGCCGCACTCACCCTCCAGCGACACTGTACTGGCAGGATAGATGCTGACTTCAACGCCATCGTCCCTCTTCCGGACTTCTTTTGGGTGAGTCTTTAAGCTTCCCTAGCTAATTAGACTGTGATCCCACCTTCGTCGCCAGTGTTAAGTCCGTAGATAAATGGTGAAGGAGGCAATTCATGTTACAGAACAGATCTTTATTCTCTCTCAGTCACAACTACCAACCAACAAGAGCAGAGGCACGCAGGCCTCCTTTTATACTCCCGGATCCCCGGGCAACAACAACCAATAGCAGGCACTCTTTTTCCCGCCTTGCGCATGCGCGCAAGGCCGGCGCCGCTCAGTCTGGTTCCGGGCAGCTTTTGCAATGCCCAGGACTCTTGCAGAGTCCTGAGCCTGCTTCTGCAACAGTCACCATCTACAAAATTCAGCCATGTTACCTCCGGGGGGGGGGAGGTACTCTTCATCAGAATCTCCTCCCAAATAGATTAAAGCTAGAATCTCAGTCACTTTCATATACTAATGAATACATTTGATTAATTTTATCTAATAATTTTCTAACTTATTTCTCATCATTCCTCACAGTGACCTTGGAGGGAAATCAAATATTGAAGGAATGTTCTGGAAAAAAATATCAAGACCTACTCTTTATCAATTATTAATGTGAACAATGGATTTGAGTTACATAGGAAAAATAGAATCAATTCAGTGTTTCAGACTGATTCATCAAAATAACTCAGTTTCAAAGAAATTTGAGAATTTAAAGACTTTAATCTCGTTATTTTAACCAAAATGCCAAATCAAATTGAATTTGTTTTAAAAAAATGGTTTTAAATTGATGCATCCCCCACCATATACAAAGTTCACCCGGTCTCCATTAGGTTGTTGATTAAGAAGTCATGGGTATATTTTGGACTTCTTAAAAAATGGCAAACACCAAATTGTTATTCAATAACATCTAGGTTTATTATTTTAAAACCTATCAAACCTATGAAACTTAATTATGACAAGCTTAAATCCATTTAATTTTGATCATCCTGCATGTGTGTGTGTGTGTATGTGTGTGTGTGTGTGTGTGAGTGTGTGTCAGTGTGCTTTCAAGTCAATTTTTTACTCCTGGAAATTGCCTGGAAAAGTCCCTCTAATTTTCTTGGCAAGGTTTTTGGAAATGGTTTCCCTTTGCTTCTTTCCTAGAAAATGACTAACCCAAAATTATCAGCTGGTTTTGTGTCTAAGGTGCCTATGAATTCACAGACTCCTAGTTTTTAGCCTAATTCTTTAACCACTATACCAAGCAGGTTCTATTTAATGGTCCTACACATACCTAATGTTTTAATCCATAGTGGAATAGATCATCAACAATACATCCTGTTTTTAATGGATGACTTCCACTAAACTTCATCTTTGTATGTTTGATGAAGGGGAAGGAGAGGAATTTAACACTTTCTTCTTTATTTTAGAAAGTTTTCTTTTTGGAATTGAGTATTTGAATTTCAGATAAAGATTCATAGGGTATAGAAATTTTAATGAACTTTAATGAAAAATAGTTATTTTTCTCAGTTGTAATTGTAAACACTTATTTAGCTTGATCCTTGAATACTGTCATAATTTATCAATTCTACTCTAGACAATGCTTCAAAAAGTGCAGCCTGTAGTGTATACAAGCATTGGCCTATGAAAAACTCTTTGCCAGTCCTGGATATCCTAGAATGAGATGGGCAAAATCTTCAAGTCTGTTGTTTGCATTTTGGGAGATTAAGGAGTAGACTACTTGATGAACCATCCCATCTCACTAGGTCCTTATGTTGGTAGGGGAGGCCTGCTGAGGATCCCATCAATCAAGGAATTCTGACTGATGGGATCTAGGAGAAGAATCTTATATGTTGTATTGCCAGCCTTCTGGAACATTCTGACCCTCTGGGAGGGGAGGTTTGCCCTCACCTTCCTATTCTTTTGCAAGGGTCTGAAGACTTGGCTCTGCCTGTTGGCCTGGGAACCCAATAGCAAAATACATTACCAGAAGTCCTTGCTAGGCTAACTTGCTGGCCCCATCTCTCCTCTGAACATCCTGCTCCCCCTCCACTTATCTTTTAATTTTGTATTACAGTAGGAAATGACCAGGCTGAGCCTGAGGAAGGGGTCAAACATGTCATCAGTCTCGAAACTCCTTGAACTACAAGAGATCTAAGTCCACCCCACCTTGAATTCCACTGACTGCCTGTTTGCTTTGATCATTATAGTTCAGATTCTTGTAGAGAATATAAACTTGCAATAAACCATTATATTCATTTGAACTGCCTGGACTTTCTGATTTTCCCATGCTTGACTATTACTGTACTTCCACTATTTATTTTTTTCATTCCTTTAGTATTGTTATCATTTTCCCCCATTTTATTGTTGTAAGCTGCTCAGAGTAACCCCACAGTGAGATGGGCTGCAAATAAATTTAATAAATAAATAATCTTAATCTTTAGGAATCTTTAAATACAGCTATTAGATACAGACTGTAAAAACATGATGCCATTAGACAGCTATTTGCTATCATCCAAATTTTTGCAATTCAAGTGAATTATCTCTAGGCTTAAGGCTTCCTTTGGAAAACAAACAAACAAACAAAGAAAGCCAAAAAATTTGGGGTAAATTCCCCTATTTTAGGATTCTAAGAGGCAAAAAGCAGAGGTTTCTCTTTAAGTAGATTTCTTAGTTCCCACCAATTGACAATATTTTGGGGAAAGGACTAGGAGCATGACCACTATATTTGACAGGGAGATAATATCACAAATATCACAAATATCCTGGCCCAGTGCCATATAAGACTTTGAAGATGATGAGCAGCACCTATAATACACCTGGAAAGAAACTGAAAGCCAATATAGCCACACCTATTCTGTTTACTTATTTTCAGAAACATGTACTTTTTTTATACAGGACAATCTCCCCATTCTCACTCAAGCAAAATCCTCTGCTATTTTATGTGAGCATTCATTTGATTTAAAATGAAGCTCAAAAGACATGTCCAGGAAATCATACATAAAGCAATAGCAATTTCAGTAATGGAGCCAAAACTAAAAGTTCCATTTTGAAGTAAGTAAGAACAAGCATTACCAGTAAGAAATAGATAGATAGATAGATAGATAGATAGATAGATAGATAGATAGATAGATAGATAGATAGATAGATAGATAGATAGATAGATAGATAGATAGATAGATAGATAGATGATGGACGGACGGACGGACGGACGGACGGACAGACAGACAGACAGATAATGATAGAGATGATATATAAATGGTATAATATCAATATCAATAGCATTTAGACTTATATACCACTTCACAGTGCTTTACAGCCCTCTCTAAGCAGTTTACAGAGTCAGCATATTGCCCCCAACAATCTGAGTCCTCATTTTACCGACCTCAGAAGGATGGAAGGCTGAGTCAACCTTGAGCCGTTGAGACTTGAACTGGTAAACTGCCGGCAGCCAGGAATCAGCAGAAGTAATAATAATACATGATTAGATATAGATACAGAACAATATGATAGATGGTAAAGACAGAGGCAGAGGCAGAGGCAGAGGCAGACAGAGAGATATGAATAGCAGCCAGTATATTGTATTGTGGGGAAATGCAATATGTAGTCTTTCATCAATCCAGCTGAGTGACTTTCAGCCAGCCATTCTTTTTCAGCCCAAGGGATTTTTCCTATTTAATTACATACATTATTCTTTAGTTTACAAATTAAGAAAATCATAAATAGATAAATTGAAAATCATTTGTCTATTAACTTTAAAGGATTGTTTGAGGATGATGATAACAATAACAACAATTTATACATACATAGAAAGAGTTTTGGACTAGGATCAGAGAGATGCAAGTTCTATTCCTCTTTTATGCATGAAAGCCAGATGGATTACTCTGGATCTCTCACTTTCTCTCAACCCTAAACTGAAGAAAGTCATTAAAATTTCTCTGTCACCCAGTACTGGATCAGCATGATAGTTAATGGTCATTAAACTTTAATGAAAAACCACACATACATAGACACACTTCATGTGATGATGTGCATGGACTAATAGGATTGCTATTCTACTAGTTATTAGATTCTCGCCTAGATTTTCAGACTCAGTTGCAAAAAAGTCAAATATTTGCTCAAACGTGTAGTTTTCAAAATTAACATCATGGACCTTTGCTCTGAACCTGACGAAAAACTGCTACTCCATCCTCATCAATTTGATTCACCTTTGGACAAAATTTCCAAAGGTCTAAGGTTATAGGGCAAGAGAGAAAACAGTTTACTTTACTTTTTTGAAGTATGATAAGCCAAAAGTCTATTTATTCATGTTCTGAAAAAAAATGCAGACATTTCTTGAGGCAATACTTGTCTTTAACAAACAAAGTGGGCAAATATTTTATTACTATAATTATTAACAAGTGTTTTTCTTTTGACCTTCCCATGGGTACAGGATAAAGTGGGTGTTGATTGCCTTGAGATCTAGGACGATATACTATAAAAGTTCCACCTGTCCATGTGTTCTTCCTACCTTCTCCACTCTAGCCCCAAAACAATTTGGAAACATGAAGTGGGTAATATTCATTTCTTTGGTATGCTTGGTAAGCTTTGCTGAATTGAAAAATTTACCCAGAAGATATCGGGATGTTGGTATGTTTTCTTCTTCTTACTCTCCTTTTTTAAAAGTCAGTTTTTATGTCTTCATTTGATTGCTCAGATATTGAGTTCATACTGCTATTTTAGAAACACGAAAGAAAGGCTTAGTCCCCAGGGAATTATATGATCCTTCAATAGAATTTTTCAGAGTATCTCCTAGTTTCTCTTCAAACTGTATACATCTTTTATATTTTCAACTAGATTTTTATCCAAGAATTTTCCAGTGAATTATGTATGTTTTATTATTATTGTCTATAAAAATATTGATAATGTTTGGTGGTTATGGTTAGCAATATTTGGAGGGCAAGAAATTACCCACAATAATACCAAAATGGTATTTATGTGTCTGCTGATCTTCCATGCTTAAATATTTTGCATGGCCCAAATCATAGCATTCTCTATTCCTGAAATCTCTTGCAATGAAGTATAATATTGTAAATATTTACTGGATATTACTAAGATTACTAAGTAGAATCTTGTTGACCTCAGCAGATTTCAAAATGCTAAGCAGGCTCATATCAAGTTAGTAGTGGGCTATTAAGAAATATCAGACAGAAGGCATCTAAACAACTTGTGACAAGAAATGGTAAAACCAATTTGTTTTATTGCCAAGAAGACCACATAAGATGTCTTCAGATAGCTCCTGGGAATTGCATTACATGTATTATTCTATTTTATTTCATTACAAGATAAATGAAAATTTAAAACACAGTTATTTTGTAATTATTTTATTTATATTATTGGTCAGATCTGCAAAATTATTAGAGTACATTCTGACAATGACAGGGTCTCTTCAATCTTTGCAATCTTTGAAATAATTTACTAATAGTGACTTTTTTACTAGTGAGTAAAATTTGTTCACTACCTCTTTATAGAAGACCATCCCTGGACTATCAATCTTGCCTCTCAAGTATCGGTTAATGATTTTGCTGCCATGTAAGTATTCCAGAAAATTGTGCTATAAATTGCACATCTAAATAATAAAACAGTGATTAAAAATCATAGTACAGAAATGGGTTGCAATAAAAAAAGTATAAAACCACCATAAAATGGCTATTCTTCGGCCCATAAAAAGAAATAAAAATCTTCATGATTCAGTATTTTTGTTGATATGTCTAATTTTATGTCTAGTTGAAAAGGCAGACCAGCTATAAATCTCATATCTCAGGATTTATTAGATTCTTATTTTCACCTTCAGAAGGGAGAATGTCTCTCTTGCTCTAATCATTTCTTTCCTAATGCTATAGAATCCTGAGCATGAAACTCTCAAGGTCAGAACAGGATGAACTTAGAGTCCAGGCACTTCCCAGAGCTTTTCTACATTCTCCACTGCTTGTAAAATATGTCCTCAATAAAAGAGAATATTTGTAGCTCAGGCTGAACTGTGGAGTCCTTGGTGCTCCAATAATGTTATCTAATTGGATAATAAAATTTCTGCAATCAAACAACCAGGCTCGGAGCGCACCAAAGAATCTACTCTAGAATATATTGCTATTCACAGACTGTTTTCTTAATCACTTGTGCTTTTTTCCAGTACCTTAGTCTTATTCACTCAAAGTGTACCAAATGCTACACTTGAAGAAGTGAAAAAACTGTCAGCAGATATTATAGCACTTCACCAGAAATGTGTTGCTAATGAACATTCAGACCCAGAATGTACAAAGCCTTTGGTAAGTGTTTGGAGTATATATAGACATATAGATTAACTAAGTACTTACAGATCCTAAATGAGTCAGTTACCAGAATCAAAAGTTTATTCTTCAAAGCTTTGGGGGCTGGAGGTGGAGCCCATCATCAGTTCTTACAGTTCTGTTCAGCTAGAGTTTTTGGCATATGTTTAATGGTAAAATAAGTATACTAGCTCCATTCCTAAGAAATCAATTCCCCTCCAAATCAAAATCCTTAGCATTTCTGTCCTTCAAGATTCCAACCAGGCTGTAATATCTGGCCTGCCATGCTAATGATATCTCCCCAAATTGCTTACTCCTGCTCTAAGCTACATTTTATTAACTGGGCTATTAGACACATTACAGCTGGCAGGATCATACACTTACCAAAAATCAAATAAACTTAACACAATGTATGAACCAAATTATCATTTCTGAAGTCCATTAGAATACCCCCTTTTGCTAGAAAGCCTATGCAAACTTACTCAACAAAGACTCAGAGCATCTTATTTCTGAATCAGTATGCTGTAGCCTTTAACTCAATATTTCCCAACTTGGAAACTCTGAGATCCAAAGACTTCAACTTTTAGAATTCCCCAGCTAGCATGGCCACTGCTGGCAATTCAGAATATTAGTCCTTATCTCTGGAAATTCCTAATGCTGTGAAGAATTTCAAGAAAATACCATTATAAAGACAAAAAACACTTCCAAAGCATATGAAACCCATTAATCTGATTTTTAATATAGCTTGTTAGAATCTTTCAAGATTTTGAGATACAAAGCTAAATGAAGGAATAATTTTTGTGTGATATGGAACTCAGTACTCTCTCTCTCTCTCTCTCTCTCTCTCTCTCTCTCTCTCTCTCTCTCTCTCTCTCTCACACACACACACACACACACACACACACACACACACACACAAACTCCCTGTTTGATAAAAAGAACTATAACTTAGCTTATAGTCCTTTTCTAACAACCAGTCTAGCAAAATAGTTTATAAATGAAAGGTAAACATGAACAGTAAGGAGTTTAAAACAGTAAATTTAGTAATCTGAAGTACTTTATCATATATATTTATATATGTGTATACATATATATATATACATACACACACTGGACTATATTACTTGATTAGCCCTGTGAATCAATGAAAAATGGGAAGAAACACACTGCTTAACTTTTTTCCTCTCATTTCTCATTCTCCTGATTTCTTTTTTTTTGGGGGGGGGACAAGTATACAGGTATACAAGCAGAAAACATCTGATCTTCTATATTTGGATCTGGATCCCAATCTCATATCATCTGAGTTAAACAAAAATTAATGGAATATGGATCTAATGTCTCATTTTCCCCAAAACCCATATCATTTGACATGAATATTATTTATATAAATCACTGCTAAGTAATGCTTATATAAGAGACATTTTTTTTTTTGTTCTACAGGGTATAGTTTTTCTGGATGTACTCTGCCATGATGAAGAGTTTTCCAAGAAATATGGAATTAATGACTGTTGTGCTAAGGCTGATCCAGAAAGAAATGAATGTATTTTGTTCCATAAAATTTCATCAATAGGAAGTGTTGGTTCCTTTGTTCATCCAACTGCAGAACAAGCTTGCGAAGCATATCACAATGACCAAAATGCTGTTGCAACCCAGTAAGTCAATTGGCTGAAGGTTGTAGCTTAGAATCATTAAATCTTGATTAAGTGAATGACACTAATATAAAATTACACATGCTGCTTCTTAATTTCATTTATCAAATGCAAACAATACATAATCTTTATCAACTGTTTCTAACAGGATATTCCTGCTTATGATTTCATTCAATTATCCTTCACTTCTTCCAGGAAGTCTCATTCTATAACATTCCAACAGCACCCATCTGTTGATGCAGTGCAGGGCAGTTAGATAATTTTGGAAATGTAAAATGTAAATCATGTAAGAAAAGAATTATGTTAGATAATCTGTTAGTCTGTTATTCTGTTCTGTTAACCATGTTAAACACAGTATTAAAGTGAAAACAAGAACATATGCATATATATGTATCTGCTCAATAATAACAGCATATATTTTTTTTTTAAAAAAAGATGCTGCAATGCAAGCATAATCCTCCTGTGATCTCAGGCATAACCTTATTATTTCAGGTCTTGTTACTATTCTGCCCATCATCAGTATTGGATATCAACTTTGAAATTTATTCTCATTAGACTATTAGAGAACTGTGGTTTTGGCTAACTTTAAAAACAGTTCATCTGCCTTATTTTTTATGTAACATAAATACCATTTCATCAGATTCTAAAGGACACAGATATAGACTTTGGATATGAGTATATGAGTTGAATAAAAGTATGCTTGTGATTGATCAAACTTCTCTGATCAAAATCCAGTGAGAACTGCATCTAAAATACATGCTACTGAAATTTAAGGACAAGGAGTGATAAATTTAAGAAAAGGAAACTTTGAGAATAATTATTTTTTTTAAAAAAAAAAATCCTTGATCTGTATTATCCTACACTCAAATTTATTACTAGACAAAAAGTTAGGTTAGATCTATTTTATTAAAATAAATTTTATTGTATTAAAACCAATGGATTTTAAGCATGCTGTATATATATTTTTGATCATCTGTGGATTTAATATATTTTTCTCCCTTTCTAGTCCTTTTCTGCAATTCTTCCTAAACATTTCCTTTTCCACTGAAAATAATTTCAGGTTAAGAAATGAAAGAGTTCTTTGGTGATGAAAACAAAACAAAACATTTTTCTCTCTTTCTCTCTCTCTTTTCTGCAAACACACACACATGTTTTGTTTTTCATAGATATACTTATGAGATCGCCAGAAGATATCCTAAAGCACTAACTGTTGTACTTCTTGACACATCTAAAAACTATAAAAATATCTTGGAAACTTGCTGTGCAGCAGCTGATAAAGATGTCTGCATTCATAAAAAGGTATTTCACTTTGCATCTTGAAATTTTGTAGAAATAAGTTGTAGCATCTATTAATACTGATACTATATTTACATTATTTTCCCATAGTCATTTCACTTTTATTTGCAGGTCTTTTTTCATGATTTTCTCTAGTTCTTTCTTTTCTATCCTGCCGCCTGTCATCTGCATTATTGAGACATATTTGTCTTTCTTTTCAATGATTATTAAATCTGAGCTTTTTGGCAGGTGCCTATCTAATTTTAAATTCCTATAGCAATTTAGTTTCTTCAAGTTCTGTTACTTTATTTATTTTATGGGCCTGCTAGTTCTTGCTTGAGGCTAATGATATTTCTTCTAATGCATCATTTTTCTACTTTGTAATATCATAGCTTGGAATCAGTCTGTGCAATCTTATTGCAACAGTAATTAGGTGGTCCACAATTTCTTCAGCTTCTTTGCAGAGATGACATTTGTTATCTGTTGCTCTCTTTTCAATTCTGACTTGTGTACAAATGTATGAGTTCATTCTAAAGGCTTGATTTTGTGCACCAACATGAATCCCCCTATCTTTTCAATTTTCCTGCATCTAGTCATAGCCAAGTAAGTATATGCTTTGCCTACTATTCTTATAATATACTGGAAATGTTATATTTTCCTTCATTATGTCTCTTTTCTATTCTTCATTTGGTCTTTTTTTTTTTTTTTTTTTTTTTTTTTTTTTTTTTTTTTTTTTTTTTTTTTTTTTTTTTTTTTTTTTTTTTTTTTTTTTTTTTTTTTTTTTTTTTTTTTTTTTTTTTTTTTTTTTTTTTTTTTTTTTTTTTTTTTTTTTTTTTTTTTTTTTTTTTGTAAGCCAGTTCTGTCTTTTCAGTACTCAGTAACCCATCCTGGTATAATAGGTTCAGTGTTTCATATTCACTGCCTTCAGATATTCTTCTAATGCCCTTTTTTATTCTTCAACCATCTGATGTATTGGCAACATTCCATGCACATCTATTTTCTTTGGTAAGTAGAATCTGTCAACTTCACTGTGAGGATGAAATGATGATTCATTGTCATTATTTTTCTGGTCTTTCTATCCAGGACTTCTTGTCCTGCTTGAGTCCAGGCCACTATTCCAGCTGTGTATCTAATGTCTGGAATTGCCCAGGTATTAATTGCCTTGATGGTACAGGTAGTCTTCAACTTATGTCCACAACTGACCCCAGAATTTCTGTTGCTAAATGACACAATTGTTAAGGGAGCCTTTCCCCTTTTTATGATCTTTCTTGACACAGTTGTTAAGTGAATCACTTCAGTTATTAAGTTACTAACATAGTTGTTAAGTGAATCTGGTTTTTGCACTGACTTTTTTTGTCAGAAAGTTGTGAACTGTGATCACATGATCCCAGGACACTGCAATTGTTATAAATATGAATCAATTGCCAAGCATCTGATTATTTTTTTTTACAAATTTTATTGAATGTACAATTTAAAAACAAAAATGGACATACTTCAACTTCCCTGACTTCAACAGTGCGGTTAGTATTACCTTAGTTAGTATTACAGAAAGAAAAACAGGAACTTAAAATATATTCTTTAACAGGACAAAGTATAAAAAACTGTGCGTGCAACATCTGTAAAATTTTTGCTAAACCATCTTATAAGAAGTCCTTATGATATCAACTAGTCAATTGATAATCGCCTCAGCGATCCTCCTTATCTCTAACCAATCGTACAAATTTTTCCAAATTTCATAATACTCTGTTTCAGTTTTATTTTTAATCTCTAGAGTTAACCTGTCCATTTCGGCGCAGGATAAAATTTTATTTATTATTTCTTCCTCAGTGGGGGTTTCCTTTCCTTTCCATTTTTTGAGCGTATGCCAATCTTGCTGCGGTTAAAGTATGCATAGTAAGTAAAAAGATGCCAAGCATCTGAATTTTGATCACATGACCTTGGGATTCTGCAATGGTCGTAAGTATGAAAAACAGTCATAAGTCACTGTTTTAGTGCTGTTGTAACTTCAAACAGTCACTAAATGAACAGATGTAAGTCAAAGACTACCTGTATTTACTCCACTAAATTTGTACTTTAAGATAATAATAATAATAATAATAATAATAATAATAATAATAATAATAATAATAATAATAATAATAATAATAATAATAATCATCATCATCATCATCATCTTAATAAAGTTGGAAGGGACCTTGGAGGTCATCTAGTCCAACCCTCTGCTCAGGCAGGAAACCCTACACCATTTCAGACAGATGGCACAGGTCAGAGAAGAATTTTTGAAGGTCACAACCTCGTAAGTGGCGAAGACCTCCGTCCAACAAGGTAACCAATTAACAAGATTGACAGTCCTTCAAAGAGGAATCAAGATCCAACGAAGAGAGGAACTAATCAAAGGTAGACAACGAAGAACAGGACGGGAGTCCGCGAAACCTCTTATCGAACTGAGGGAGAAGTTTGTGGCAGCCCCTGAAATATTGGAATACTGCTATCATGTCCCCCCTTGTCCTTCTCTTCATTAAACTAGACATACCCAATTCCAGCAACCGTTCCTCATATGTTTTAGCCTCCAGTTCCCTAATCATCTTTGTTGTTCTTCTCTGTACTCTTTCTAGAGTCTCAACATATTTTTTACATCGTGGTGACCAAAACTGGATGCAGTATTCCAAGTATGGCCTTACCAAGGCATTGTAAAGTGGTATTAATACTTCACGTGATCTTGATTCTATCCCTCTGTTAATGCAGCCCAACACTGAGTTGGCTTTTTTGGCAGCTGCAGCACACTGCTGGCTCATATTTAAGTGATTGTCCACTAGGACTCTGAGATCCCTCTCACAGTTACTACTATTGAGCAAGGTACCCCCTATACTATACCTGTACATTTGGTTTTTCTTGCCTAAATGTAGAACCTTACTTTTTTCACCATTGAATTCCATTTTGTTAGATAGCGCCCAGTGTTCGAGTCTGTCCAGGTCCTCCTGTATCTTAAGCCTGTCTTCTGGAGTGTTGGCTATTCCTGCCAGCTTGGTGTCATCCACAAATTTGATGATTTCCCCATCTATCCCCTCGTCCAAATCGTTGATGAAGATGTTGAAGAGCACTGGGCCTAGAACAGAGCACTTGGGCACCCCACTACACACTTTCCTCCATGTAAATGCAGTTTCATTGAGGACCACATGCTGAGTATGGCCGGTCAAGCAACTATGGATCCATCTGGTGGTGATGCTGTCTAACCCGCATTTTTCTATCTTATCGAGTAGTAGGTTGTGATCTACTTTATCAAATGCCTTACTGAAGTCCAAGTAAATTATATCCACAGCATTCCTCTTCTTCTTCACTCTCTTGATGTATCCACTTCTAATCTTTTTCTTGAGTTCAGTGTACTTGATATTGTCAGCCTGAAAAATGCCAGGTGTTTGTAATGATCATCTTCATCTATTCATTTGATCACAGACTCTTGATGCTATTTTCATAGGGTATCTTGAGTTCAGTGTTCATTATTTTTCCCCATTTGATGTTGAGCATGGCTCATTAGTCCAGTCCAAACTCCATTACAATATCTTGGCTATATATATTGACAGTGTTGAGGGAAATTCTATTTCAGATAATATTTTTGCATACATCTACAAATCATCTATGCAGAGGAGGTGGATAACCTGGTAGATGCTTTGGATGTTTGATAGCCACCACCTGAGTTATTCAGTATTGTTGACAGAGAAATCAGTGCAAAGAGAAACAATAGTAGTGAAATTGAGTCTGCTTGAAAGATTCCTCTCTTGATATTTACTTCTCCCAATCTACCACCATTGACCTATGATCATGTCTTCCATTGTGCCATCAATCTTTGCACAAACCTCTGATGTTTCTACTGACTGATTATTGCTAAACATTTGGTTAACCAATCAGTGGAGGGAGTCCATTCTACATTCAAGTGGGTTCCTTCTATTGCAGTTTTCCAAAATCATCTTGTTAATTAGGAGTTGCTCTTTTGCTCTTCTCCTCTTTGGACAGTTTCCTTTCTCCTGAGGTGCTAAGAGCTTGAATGGTCCTTGATGCTCTTCAAGCTTCATTGTTTTCTTGCAGATTGTAGTATAATCAGTGCTAACAAAGTTACCTAGCTGAGTAATGAAATGTCTGCAAGAAAACCACCACACTCAACCAAAGATCCCTCATTTCAATGCTGAGCTACAAATATTCTCCTTTATTGGCAAAGAACATTTTTTTACTAGATGCTGTTGGACTGCATCAGCTACCATGCCAGTTAGCAATCTGAAAGTTTTGATTTGTTGCACAGTCAGCCAGATGTTCAGACTGGAGTTGGCATTTTTATCTACCTATTAAGCTTTTTCTCAAGAACCTGGGGTATACAATGTGGATGTTTGATAGTGTTAGAGATATTGTTGCAAGATGTAATCTGTTCTGAGTAAGGCTGTCTTTTGCAATTGAATGATGGAGAATTTGTCAAAGTTGATGGTGTTGCTCTAGTTGTTTGGAATTATAAGCAAGATGCATGCAACTTGGTGCAACCTTTACATTCTTTTGCTATAGTCATTATATTTCTATTTGTTGCTATTATTACTCTTTTCTTATCTCTCTTTTCCAATCTATTTATTGTACTGGACTGAATAAAAATGTTTTCTTTTTCTTTCTTTCTTCTTTTTCTTTTTTGATTTGTAACAGGCAACAGAAGCCAAAAAGAAATTCAGGGAAATAATTGATGAACATGAGAATACTTGTTTTAATCTGGAGAAATATGGAAAGGAAAAATTACATACATTGTAAGTCTGGTTTATTTGGGATGTGGTAGGGAATGAATTCCTAGAAATACACATCAAATATGATTAAATTATACACCGTTGACCTTTGGGGCCATCTTGAGTATATGTCAATAGGTTTCATGAGGCAATATGTTTTCTCTATCCAAATAATCAGTTTAATAATGTGTGGCCCAGAGGGGAGAGCAGCTTCCAAATTACTGCATGTGCACGAGCATGCATGCATGCAAATGGGGCCATGCCCACTGGTGAAGTACTAGCAGCCATGTTCATGCATGCAGCATGCACTGGCACCATGTGTATGTGTGAATGATTGCGCACCCCCGTGGCGGCTAATGCATGTTCACACATGTGCAAATGGGCCACACATATGCATGCCCACACTAGCAGCCCATTCACGCATGCACAAATGGGGCATGCATGACCCCATGCTAGTGTTCTCATTTGTGCCCACATGCATGAATAAACAGGGTCATGGACACTAGCATGAGTGGGGGGAATGTGCACGCCCTGGCCAGCCATTTCTGTGGCCCGCTGGCCCAGAGCTCATAGCCCATAGGTTGGGGACCCCTGGATTAAGGGTAATTTTTTTATATAATTATTCAGGTTTTTATAATTTTTCAGGTTTTATTTACCCAGAGACTCAAGTCATGTCAAAATAATATGAATAACATAGTCTGGGGGCAACCATTCTGTGTTTTGACCATTTGAGAATGACTTATACTTGTTTAATAGATTAATGCTTTGCTATAATCAGCCCTTTTAGGTAGTGCTGACTAGAAGCACAAACTTGCAACTTATAAATGCTATCTTCGAATAACAGAATCTTACAAGTCTGAAAGGACTTCTCCACTCATTTATTTTTACTTTCAGGGAAACTGCAGATAACACCTTCTGAGCTGCTTCATAGTCCCCTTTTCTTTCTGTGGGCTGAGAGAGTTAGCAGATAACTACTTTTAGGGCTTTAAAAGATTTAATGATTATTCTGTTAATTTTTCGGTCAATGCATTTTTAATACAATTGATCTAAGGACAGATATTCTTCAATTTCCAGTATTTTTCAATAGAACAATTACCAATTGGACTAAGTGCTAACTACTACTTACAACCCTTGTACCTGATGTGATCTCCCAGACAAACACTAAACAGCTTGAACTCTATGTAGTTTTTTGACATCAGCAAAGGTCAAATAGTACTATCACTGGTTGTGACACACTATCTTTTATGTTTACTAAAGTGACTGTTTTTTGAATATGTGAAACAAGATTCCTATTGTTGTTAAATACTGATGGTATGCCAAAAATCTTTTCCATAATTCTTTGTTTTTGTTTTTGTTTTTATTTTAAATACATTCATGATCCTTGAGAATTTATTTTCAGATTTTTCTTATGGCTCTTTTTAGCTTACTTGCTTTTCTACTGGCAAAGGAGAGGATTCTGCTCAGAGTTCAAAAACATCCTCCAAGACAATATGGTTATTTATTTTTCTTATTTTGGAAAACTTCCCATGGGAAGAATTCCAAAAAAATCTCTTCCCTGGAAATTAAATTCCCTGATGCATGGGGAGCTATGCTGGAGCAATTATTGTTCAGTGAAAGAAAAATAGTTGTATCTGTACCAGTGCAATAAAAGAAACCTAAAGCCCCAAATATGATTGCAAAATAAATTAAAATTATGCAATTATGGGGATGGTCAGATTTTAAATGGAAGAGTATATGATTATATGGCATTGCAATTGCTTGTGGAACATGGTAGAAATTATTAGAATCTGCTTTGAAATAATCATAATGCTTTCCTTTGCTTTTCTGTCTAGGAAATTTATTGAGACACATGAGAAGTTCATCAATGCTAATCAGGAAACTATATCCCATATTGCTAATGATGTTGTGCACATCTATGAAGAACTCTGTAAGGGGGATTCCCTGGAGGCTTTACTTGACAGAGTAAGATGTATTCATGTCTGCTGCTTCAAGCCTAGGCTATATAGATATAAGCCTAGAAAAAGGCTCTTTTTGTTTGCCTATTTGACTTTATTAAGCTGTTTTCTTTCTTTCTTTCTTTCTTTTTTACTATGCTTTCAAAGCACTCAACCATGCTTTTGAGCAGATAAGATATTTGCTCAATGAACTTTTATTGTATATACTGTAGAAGTCAATGGGTAGCTTCTTAAATGCTCTGTCTCAACTCCAAGGATTTGCTTTGTTTTATTTTTTTACTTGGTCTTTTTTTTTTCTAGAACTACCTTTTGAAATTTTCAAATTTCTCCAGTGATTTTTTTTCAAACCAAATCTTCTAATTACTTGAAAATGGAGTTCAACACACATATATACAAACAGATACATTTTGTTATTTTGTTTTCACAACTGAAGATTAATAATACAAATAGATAATAGATAATATGCAGACCCAGGTTCTGGTTCTCCTCAGGCACTGAAGCTCGCTAGCTGATCTTGGGCAAGTCAATTTCTCAATCCCAAACCATCATGGTAAAACTCTTTCTTTAATCAGATTTTTTTGTTTTGTGAAGTAGGCCAGCACAATGCAAATAAGCAAGTCTATAACCAAGCAAGAAGAAAAAGGAGGAGGAACAGGAAAACAAGTAGGAGATAGCTGTGAGACCAGTTTATACTACTGAAGAGGGCAGCAACTTCAGTGGGTTAGGTGATGATATAAAATGGCCGAGTTTATTTAGATTTATGTAGTTCTATTTTTTTTAAAAAAAACTTTGACCACTTTGATGGACTTTGATGGACAGCTATGTAAAATTACCAAAGACATAAACAAACAAATATGAAGCATATTAATACTGACATCTTAAAAACAGAGAAATAATCTGGCAAACTACATGATCCTCTGTATGTAACTGACATATAGAATTTTAAGGAATTAACTCAAATCCTACTTTCACGCATCCCTCTAAATGTTTTTACCTAATCACTTTTTCTAGAAACATCAGCACAATACCTCTGTCTTCACTTCAGTTTCCTAGAATGACAGAAGAGAAAAACTAGTGATTCCCTGCAGGATTAAACACTTGCAAAGAAAAATAAATAAACATTGTACATCTGTGTGGGAAAAGGCTGTTTTAAGAATTATGTGGCATTCTCAAAAAATTGAAATAGATGATATCTGATGTATTGTGTGGTTCCACAGATTTATTAACTTACCGGTACATCAAAGCAAGATCTTTTAAGACTTATGTGTTCACTATTATTAATTTTATTTGGAAAGAATTCTTGAAAAGTTTTGCAAAAGTCTATAGCTCCTCCAATTATAACCAGCCTATTTCCAAAGGCTCAAGCTCTCTCTTTTCTTATAGGCATCCCTGTCAAAATATGTCTGTGCGCACAAAAATGATATATCTCCTAACCTTGAATCTTGCTGTGGAAAGCCTCTGGTGGAAAGACCAAACTGCCTTAGTAATATGGAAAATGATGCAAGGTCTCCTGGTCTGCCCCCACCATTGAGAGAAATCTTAAAGGAGACAGAAGCATGTAAATTGTATGCTGAACAAGGAGATGGACACAAGGAAAGGTATAGCTAGTAGGGCTAGACTGTATAAAATAATACAAGAACAAGTCTTGTGGTCTGAATATATGGAACAATTCCTACTCTAACTTCAGATACAATAAGGCAATGGGTATTGGAATAGAGCATTGGCTGTTTTCCCTTAAGTATTATTTCTAAACCTTAAAGCAGTGGCCATGAACTTCTCTGGCTTTGTAGACCAGCAGGGGGAGGGGAAGAGGGGATGGATCTGCTGCTCACACAAATGAACCTTCGCACATGTGCATGCTTGCACACTGCTTGTGCAAGTGGAGCTGCCCACGTGTAGGTGTGCTTGCCTACCGCTTTCACGGCCTGGTTCTAAACAGCTGTCGGCCTGATATTGGACCAGTGGCCTGGGGGTTGAGAACCCCTGCCTTAAGGAGTTTCTTCTCAAAGAAGATAAAATTATTTTTATCTTATAACTTTATCTTTCTTCTAAATTAGTTTGTTCAGTAAGATTTAACTGCATTGCCAGCATGGAAACAAGATTCAGTTGCTAGTCCAGTTGAGTTTTGTTCATTCAGTGGAGAAAATATTATTATCCTTTGTTTCAAGTGGTAAAATGTTCAGGGAGAACACAAAAGTAAGATGGCCTAGAGATAAGACATTGGAATTAAAAAGTTAATGAATCTCTCTAATCTAAGACAGGAATAAGAGGCAAAAAGAAAAGAAGCAGAATTAGTAGTTAAGTAGCAAAATGATCTGGCAAACTAACCTGAGAGAGAGAACCATGGATTCATAAGTGATCTTGGAAAAGATATACATTTAGGTTAATCCAAAGTATTATTTCCAACTGATATCAAAAGAAATGAGTCATGCTATAACATACAACTGACATACAACTCTTTCCTTTTTGCACCATAATTTTAAATGGTTGATCCAGAAGAACATCTGCAATGTCTAGAATTGTATAATGACAATATTTTACAAAGATTACTGAAATAGTACATTTGAAGAACATGGAATATATTGTCTCCTTTCTTATTTTTATCCCATTTTTCACCTGTTTTAGCTTCCTCTTTATTTTAACAAGAAATCATCCTGAACTTTCTAAACTGCTTGATCTGGAAATTTGGAATAAATATAAACTATTGCTGGAAAAATGCTGCAAATTAGAAGACCACGTACAGTGTTTGCATACAGGGGTGAGTTCCTTTCTCTCTCTGCAGGGCACTTCCTGTTGATTCCCTGCCCACTCCTGCTCAAACCTTCCCATCCCTTTTGAGGCACTATTAATAATTATTCAGAAACTGAAAAACAAATTACCAGTAGAGATGCATTCTTTATTAAAGAATGCATACATAGAATAGAAAATTTCGGTCTTAAGCAATCTGTGTGGCTATTTTTTGTTTGTTTGTTTGTTTGCTGCTTTGTTTTGCTTTGATATGTTTTATTTTCCTTGAAACATAAAGCATTCATTACACCAAAAGTCAGGTTTTAGATTATTATAATGTATATTAAGTGGAGCAGCCCTTGAAGAATATTTGGAATCATAACTGTTGCAAAGTATAATAGTCAGATAGCTTTCTAGTATTTGCTTTTTTGACTATATTACATAGCCTTACATATAACACTAGCACTGGTTTCATATCCAGGCCAAATTTCAGATTTTAGTTATTATAAATACCTAAATATCACTTCTTTGTATTTAAAATAAACTATCTTTTTATGTTAATTTAGAAGATGCTGTAATACATCTAATCTACAAAATAGGTTCAGATCATAGCGCTATGGCAGTGCTCTATACAAAGGCAGTACAGTTGTTGGCACTATTTAATTAATATAAATGGCTTTGGGGGCCCTTCTTCAGAATGGAATGAGGCATAAAGACATTTGTATGAAGTGAATCATTGAGTACAGACTTACTCAACAGTTATGATGACCAAGGCAGGTTTCTAAAGATTTTTGAATTTTGAATAGAGGTGGCAGGAAAACAAATGTGGAAAGAAAACACTGTGGAAATAAAAATCCTAGATCTGAAAGGGATACATGACATCAACCAGATTAGAAGATACCGTTTGTTTGTTCCTTCCTTTATAGTCATAATATTTGCATACTTAATCATTACAGCAGACTTGTTTTTAACAAATCATGATCTTCGCCATTCTTTTCCATTCACATTTGTCTCTAACATGGGTTAAATCCAAAGTTGCCAATTCCAGAGTAAGAGCTGTCTCCTCCAGAGTAAAAATTATTTATATTTCTCTGGCTTTTTCCCAGCATTATTTATGTTGCTTCTTCCTAGGTCTGTTCATTGTTATTGCAGATATTTTTTAAAAACAATATTTTCTTTCAGGAAGAACAACTTAAATTATATATTACTAAGATTACAGATGTTGTGAAGACTAATTGTGATAATTATAAAGAAATAGGAGGGTACTACTTCCAAAATGTGTAAGTTTTTCTTTGAATGATTCATTTGCAAATGTTCAAAAAGCCGAACCTTGTGTGGATGCAGAATTGTCTATTTTCAAGGGGATGAAAGAAAATATTATTCCACTAAATGTCTTGAAGTTCTCCTGCACCTGTACAGATTTTCAATCTTTTTTTAGAACAATATTCAGGAAAGTAATTTATAAATGTTTTGTAGCCTATGAATAAAGGAGAGGATTCAATTGTAACTACAAATATATTTTAATAGTATTAAAATGCTGAAATAGTAAAGTTTCCTAGGTATACAAGGATTTTAAGGTGCACCAAAGGAGTAAAATGCCAAAATGCTTTGTCCACAAGTTTAAACCATTTAAATCAACATAAAAGTTACTATTTACTCAGGTGCTTCTCTGATGTCTCAAACAGAAGGCAAGAGCTGAGATGTGTTTGCATAGTCAAGATTTTTAGATTTTTGTAGAAAGAGAAAGATCGTTTGAATTTTACTAAAACCCTGGAAATTAACCTTCAGCTTTAGGAAAGCAATTCTTTTTCCCCCTAGCATCCTTTAGTGCTTTTACAAACCTGCCTTAATCAACAGCACACACTTATACATAGTGTCTGTTGGCCTTTTCTTGCAGATATTTGATAAAGTATACCAGAATTATACCACAGGCTCCAACTTCAAATCTAATCGAGATCACCAAAAGAGTGGCAAAGGTTGCTGTGAAATGCTGTAATTTAGATAGTAATCACCAAGTCTCATGTGCTTTAGAAAATGTGAGTATTGTTTCCGCCATATATTCTGGTCTTTTGCTTTCTATTCCATTTCCTCCTTTAGCAACACATCACAACAAAAAGCCTTTAGATGTTCTCAGTGGAAGGAAGGGCTGTGTGGGCTTCCAAAGCTATGTTCTTCCCCTGGGCCAATATTCTCAGCATTCTATCTGCAAGTGAACTCAGGCACAAAGCAGAGTCTTCCACAAACATCTCAGCAAGCAACAAAAGTTCTATTAAAGGCTCTAAAACTGAACTGAGAGCAGAAAAAAAATCTAAACAACTAAGGGATTATTAGTTCTTAGATGTCTATGACAGTAATCTAATCCTTAGATAATCAGAACATATTTACACCTCTGTTGTTCCTAATTTTTCCTCATTTATAGAGCTGTATATGTTCCCTTGATGATCATAACTCTGTAAATTCTGGGGAATCTTATATTTCAGTAAATAATTTAAATATTTTCATTTGCAATGCATACTAAAATATGCTTTTCTAAAATAATACTCCATTACATGCTTTTCTGATGTATCTTTTTGAAACATATATCTTTCAAATTAGTTAATACAGTGTTCCTGACTAAGAGGGTACCATCCATTTTGTTTTAACTCAAAAACCCATTTTCAAAATATTTTTATATCCTTATTAGAAACTGTGTATTCTCAGTGGAAAAATATTAGCTTTCAAAGGCAAAATTATGATTTTGTCTTTTTTATATTTCATTTATGAATAAAAGTTATAAATTTATAAATCGGAAACCTTAAAATCTCCAGCTACCAAAAAACAAGCCATCAGATAAAACAATTCTGTAAAGCAATTTACTGAGTCAACTCAGTAGATGCAACTTTGTTTCCTGTTACTTTCTTGGGATGGATGGAGACCAATGGAGAGAAAGACAGGTAAACAGACAGACAGAATCAGCAGTTATCTATGGCACATCTCAATGAAGTTTTTGCTCTAAGAAGGAAGGAGAGTGATTTTGAACATTCAGTGAAAAAAGCTATTAATTTAGCAAGTCTTCCATTTGACCTACCTTTCATGCAACCTTTTTAGCATCAAATAAAGCATAAATCTTGAAACGTTATGTGCTTAGCATTCATCTTACAATAATCGTATCAGGTAACTGAAGAACTTCATGGGATATTTTTTCCTCTCTCCTCTCAGACAGATAAAGTGATAGGATCTGTATGTAGATATCACAAAGAACATTTCATAAACAAACAACTTTGCCATTGCTGTGATTCCTCCTTTATCAGTCGTTGGGAGTGTATCAGTAACTTAGGACCAGATCCATCGTATGTCCCTCCTCCATTCAGACCTAAAGTACTGGATGCTCCTGAAAATTTGTGCTCACCCAATGAAGAAACTGTGCAGGAAAGTAAACAATGGTAAGAAAACAAAGTCCTTTTAATCTGATGTCCTGTTACAAGTTTTACATCAAGCAAGCCATGATATGTCATACCTCTGAGTGAATTCTATTGTATTCTAGGCATCATTTTATTTAGATATCTCCCATATCAGTCTCCTTTCTTAGGACAACTGCCTTCTCAAAATGTCTTTGGTGATTTATCTTGAAGCATTTGTTTTCAGCCTTTTTCCTCTCTTCTTTCTAGTTTTACCCCTGGGAGTTTGCACTAAGAAAGTACATATTAAAAAAAATAATTTTCTATATGCATGAACTTATATATTTCTCATTTTGGGGAACTAGNTGCTTAGCGACTTGATAAAATCCAAACCTAATATCTCAGATGAAATGCTTGCCTCTGCAATTGAAGCTTTCCGTAACCTCCAGGCAGATTGCTGTGCAGCTGAAAACAAAAAGGAATGCTTTGACACAAAGGTATATCTGAAACAGAAAAATGGATGGGGAGAGTTTAAGAAAGTGTTCTTCCTTATTGCTGCCTCAACCAGTCATCCATTTATTATTAAGGACTCTGTGACTATTGTGAGAAAGTGTAGCATATATTATGCTGGTTTATGGGGTAAGAAGACCTTCCTGCCATCTATCTTAGTGTTGATTTTTGAGTAGTTTTAAATTTTAAATTTGTATAATTTTAATATTTAACTATAAATCACAGCTGCAATTAGGCAGGTTCTACTCTCATAATATAAGCAGATATGCATCTCACTGTGAAAGATAATCAGAAATCTAGGCTACAGTCTTCAGAGCCATCTAAAGTTTGATAGTATGATGTAATTTCCCTGTTAGAAGATAATTCTGCAGATCTGCAGCACAAAAAGAAAAACTGAAGTTTTGTCTCTGCTGCAATAAAATTCCCAGCAGCTTCAAGGTAAATGGATTGTGCGTGTGTATTACTACAAAAGGGCTGCAGACCAAAAGACCTACTAGCTTCATCCTTTTCTGTCTCTGTTTTGATAATACCTTGTACAAAGCCACTTTGGACTACTGGTTAAGGCACCAGGCTAGAAACCAGGAAATTGAGTTCTAATCCTGCCTTAAGCATGAAAGCTGACTGTGTGATTTTGGACCACATAAAGTCACACATCTTCACATCTTCTGTATCTTCTTGTAGAATGAGAAACTGACAAATCTAAAAAGCATGTCCCCATGAATATTTTTTTAGGAATGCTCTTAGGAAGAACATAGTTAATTTAGGAGGGCTGTTAGGAGGAACATAGTTAATTTATTCAACTGGATGAAGATTTGTATAATTTACTTTGTTCAGCAAATATATATATTTTGTTCAGAATATATATGTATATATATTCAATTTCAGGGTCAAAAACTGGTTGAAGACATCCAAAATGATCATATAATCCATTAATTTTCTAAGGTAAGCTAATACAGAAATATATTCAACATTTTAACGATTTTACGATGATGATGCTTGAATGGGATAGGAAAATACATATGTATGAATAAACCTGTATCCAGTCATGATATCCCTTAGATTAAGATAACATGACTCCCCAGTCTCTTTAAATATATCCTTCGTGAAAAATCCAAAGTGAATTAATTTATTTTCTATATTCTCAAAATCCTTTTGTTTAAACTAATATTTTCTCTTTGTGTTTGTAACAGACCATAACAAAATGAAATGTTGAATTATCTATTTATCCAGCTGCCATAATTTATGTTGGAACACATAGATTCTTATACAATGTCATGGTTATTTTTAGCTCCATTGCCATTTGCATTGTTGTCTCCAAAATATGTTTCATGTAAAACACTAGCAGTGAGATTATCACTAAAACATATTTCTTCCATAATCTCTCTCTCAAAATTCATTTTCTCACCTTAATTCTTTTTCCTTAATTCTTGAGAACTGAATTTAAATATTCTATATCTATATCTTTGGTACTAGAAATAACAGATTCGTCCTATTGTTTTTTGTAGCTTCCACAATGGAAGAATGCTGGAGATAAAGAATCCAAATGTTCCCAAACATCCTTGATTGCTGCTTTCATGTCAACCTTCTAACGCCAAGGACAACCAATTCTGGTGTAAAAATTACTTCTTATGAAGTAATCTTTAAAATGAAAATGAATAAAGTCTTTAAAAGGAGAGATTGGCTTACAAATTAATGCTAAAAAGATATGCCATTACATGCCTTTGATTATTTGTTTCCATGTATGGATGTGTGTGTATGTGTGTATGTATGTGTTTGTATGTGCCAAAGATAGTATGAAAAAGAGAGAATGAAGAAAATGAAATTCTGGGTGAATTAAGAGGATCCAGTAATTAATACATCAAAAATAAAGTAATATTTTTGCTAATAATTTTACAGAGAACTCCCAGTAGTTTTAGAATGTGGAAATACTTTGCCACGGGCTTTGGATAATTCAGTTATTTGTGTGGTGGAAATCCTTTTAAATGAACAGTCCCAATACCTATTTTTAAAAATGGAAGATAATATATTTGGTGAAAAGTCATCTACATCCTCAAATAACTCTCTCTCTCTCTCTCTCTCTCTCTCTCTCTCTCTCTCTCTCTCTCTCTCTCTCTCTCTCTCTCTCATACACACACACACACTCACACACACAAACACAAACACAGACACACCAAAAAAATCCCTTCTAATATGATTCATGCTTTAATAGTCATGTTTAACTAAGATTGTCATTTTGATATGGAGGAAAACAGAGAAAAATCTTATGTTCCATGTAGTCTCTAAGGTGAAGTAAAGCTACATCTGTAATACCTACATACTCATTACTTTACTTATTTTGGAGGTAAGATAGATGATTAAAAGGTGAAATAAATTGTAAGCAAAATAAACTGGAAACAGGACATTAAAAAACTTTTTTTGCAAATTTTTTTATTGATTTTCTAATTTCACATTTAAATATTTGAAAAGCAACGTGGCGACTGAATTACTCAATTATTCAATAACATACAAATATCTTTAGTACAGATCTCAAACTATTAGATTAAACGTTTCCTCTCTTTTCCCCTTAGTATTTACTGTCTTGTATTTAGATTAATACAATTCTTGAACATTAAAAATCTTTTAATTAAAGTATTGTAAGTTTATACCAAAACCATATTACTATATTACTTACTATATTTTCCCATGGCTTTCTATCCTTATAAGCCAGTCTTATAGTCACAGATCACTTCAAACATTGGCCTTTTGTTATTTAAATATCTAATATCCCCCTCTTTATAATATCTTTTTCAGTTAATCCATCACTATTTTCTCCAGATTTCCCTATCCTTTCCTGTCTGTATTTCTTCAGGAATTTGATTCTGATTGTTTTTTTTTTATATGTCAGCCCTATAAGGTCGACCAATGACATGTAGATCAAAACCTCATTTACTGTAACACCTACAGTAACAGAATCCTGGCTGAATACCAATATTTCCACTATTTTATTACTGAAGGAAATAAATTTAGAAGCTGGATTAGCTAGATACATCTCTGCCTGATATATCTATAAAGGATCAATTTATAACATCTTCTCCCTAGGGTTGATAATTTAATTACAGTATATATATGGGTCAGCATGGCTTTCAAAAAAAGAAAGTCCACTTTTATTGTGGATGTTAAAAAGAAGATTCCTGAAATCCAAGCAAGGAAAGAGATAGTTGAATCTCTTCCTTACACATACTATATTTCTCTCATCACTGCTCAGAAGAACAGTGCTGAAGAGAAATGAAAAGGTAATCTATTTTTGGAGTTTATTGTAAACATTAAACAAAGAAGTGTTATATTCAAAATAGGATTTCTTATATGAGAAGTTACAGAGGTTTCAGGCTGATTTTCTATTTCCCCCACAAACTAAAGCTCTAACCTAGTAATTCCCCTTAAAAAATTATCCAAAGATTCAACCAATTCTGGTTGATTAAGGTAAAACTTAATCTCTTAGATGAAATAAAAGACATACAATTTAATAGATTTTTTTAATATACAATACAGAAGTTAATATCTACTCATATATTTTATAATATGGATTTAGATTATTATCACTTAGCTTTCCATCTATACCTGACACTGCACAATCTATTGTATAAACACCAGCTGAGGCCACTCAGCATAGTGATTTTTACTTGTATTTGTGTGTTTGTTATTTTTTTATCTTTTTCCTGATACTGCAAAATTGTCCAAATACCACAAAGTGCTACTATTCTCCCTAAATTATAGATGTTTTCATGCTCCATGTAGCCAATAGATATGATGTAAAAATAACTTGGCAAGGCCTCACGCTGATGGATCTTCTGACATGGGATAAAGTGCACTTGTTTAGAGAACAAATCAGTCACTACCTATATGATGGAATTTTCCTAAGATTTCAGGGAGTTCTACAATAAAGTCCATAGAGATCTCTTTATTTATTTATTTATTTATTAATTGTATTTATATCCCGCCCTTCTCCTTTCGGACTCAGGGCGGCTGACAAATGATAAAAAGCTAACATATTACACCTAGTTAAAATTTGATTAAAATGAAATATTTGAGAATGTCAAATTTAAAAGTAATTAAAACCCCTATAAAATCCCCTAGGCCAGTCCCGCTTGCTGGAA